TGTAGCTGGGACTCCCCCCCCCCCCCCTCCCCCCGAGTTTTTACAATGAGTGTAGCATGAGAGAAAGCTTTTGAACCCTTTGATATACTAACATGTGGGGCGCGCTGGTGGCGCAGTGGTTAGGGTGCTCGTCCCATGTGTTGAGACTCTCATCTCAAGCGGTAGGCCCAGGTTCACCTCCACCCGTGGCCCCTTTCCACATGTCATTCCCCGCTCTCTCTCCCTGGTTTCCAACTCTATCCACTGTCCTCACTCTGTATTAAAGGCACAAAAAAGCCCAAAAAATAAATCTTTAAGATATACTGACATGCACAGTCAGAGCTGGTGAGGAGCGGGCCATGTGATAACGACTCAGTCCATGTTGATGAACTTGAGATTCTTGAATGAAAGCAAAAGTGGGTGTTTTCTTTTCTCCCCACATGTACAGACACTTTATAAAATAACTCCTGATAGGTGGGAGGAGAAAACATTTAATGGTGTCAACAACACAGTGAGAGTTGTAGCACCTCCTTGACAGCACACTATCATTCCAAGCTCACATCAATAATGTCACCCGGTCTGCTTATTTCCATCTACGTAACATTAATCGCCTCCGCCCGTCCCTCACTCCCAGCAGTACTGCCATCCTCGTCAACACCCTGGTTACATCCCGCATTGACTACTGCAACTCCCTTCTCTTTGGTCTCCCTCTCAAGTCCATCCACAAACTTCAACTGGTCCAGAATTCTGCCGCTCGCATCATCACCAGAACGCCCTCTGTTAATCACATCACCCCTGTCCTACAGCAGCTTCATTGGCTCCCGGTTAAACATCGCATCACCTTCAAAATTCTGCTTCTCAACTTCAAGGCCATCCACAACCTCGCTCCACTTTACATCTCTGAACTCCTGCACATCAACATACCTACCCGCACTCTCAGGTCTTCTTCTTCCATTCAACTCACTGCACCACCCGCCCGCCTGTCCACCATGGGGTCCAGGGCCTTCAGCCGCTCTGCCCCCCACCTCTGGAACTCCCTCCCACCACAAATCCGTAATATCGACACTCTCTCCATTTTCAAATCTCATCTCAAAACACATCTTTTTAAACTGGCATATTCAGTCTGATCATTCTCCACCCGTTCTCATAACTCCTTTACATCCTGTACATTTGTGTTTTTTAATGTTAATTTTATCATTGTGTTGTTACTTTGTTGTTTTTTATCTCTGCTCTGTAAGGTGACCTTGAGAGTTTTGAAAGGCGCCTTTAAATAAAATGTATTATTATTATTTATTATTATCTCACTACGTGTTTCTGTGTGTGTGATGAAATCAGTTTGCCCTTTACACAGAGAGGTGAACCTTTCCATCAAAGTGTAGCAGCATTACATAAGAGCACAACAGCTCCCAATATGACCTTCTCCTCTTTTTTTTCATTTTCCAAACCCTGTCATAATCCTCTTTTTGGAACATCAGACGAGCAGAGCCAGGTTAGCTGAGCAGCAGATTAGAGGTCCAGTTATGTTGTTATTTACTCTCCTCATCGTGTCGCCGTCTTCATCCATCCACGAGTCGGATAAAGTCTGTCTTTAGTTCAAATAGTGAATTCTAATAGGGCCGGCCGAAGCTTTCCCCTTAAGCTGTTCTTCAATCAAAAAAAGACATAGAAAGGCAGATCTGTCATTAAGCAGAGGTGCTTATCATTGCATTAATATCAGGATGGTGTAATCAAGCGGTGGGGGTCTAGCCTTCTCTCCCCCCCCCCCCCATCTGAGCCAAATAAAGAAATCATTTAATTTGTGTCTGTAAACAGTACGAGCTGGCCCTTGCTCTGTTAAGCCTCTTTTGGTCCCTCTGTGGATAAGTGGCTTAAAGCGCTGGCTTCACTTGGGGCTGTGCACTTATAGTAATGCTGATGTATAATGTTGCATGGTGGTTACACACACACACACACACACACACACACACACACACTTCAACAGAAACACATGCTAACAGTACCGTACACCTCACCGCTTGCGAGAGGTTACCGACACATAGATTAAATTCTGACGGACAGCACAGCCAGTCAAAGTTTCATACATGATCCCAAATATAGTGCCAGCTGAGTCACAGAAGCTCCAGTGTCTGACCCCAGCTTTGTGTGTGTGTGTCTCTTATTTAGAGATAGGACAGTGGAAATCAGGGAGAGAGAGAGAGTGGGGAACGTCTTGCGGTAAAGGAGCCACAGGTCGGATCCGCACACGGGGCCACCTGCATGGAGGATTTTAGCCGCCGTACAGTACATGGGGAGCACGCACTAACCACCACTCTACCGGCGCCCCTGACCCCAGCTCCTGTGTGCACAAGAGGTTTTGATTTGAAGGGTTAGGTTTTGCCTTCATTCTTTAGTTTTCATGACTTAAAGCACTTGCACATTGAATCCCCCCCAAAAAAACTAAAATATACCAAAGAGGATCACTGAAGTCCTAAACTGGTGGAAGGACTTTTTTCTAACCTCTGTGACCCTCTGCTGTAAATGCAATGCAGAGCTTTGTGTTACTTTGTTCAGAAGAGGTCCTGTCCTCACCCTGATACTGCTCTGGAATAAGTTACCTTACACACTTCATCATACACACATCATATGAAGGACAACATCCGACCACTAAAGGGCTTTGATTATTTTTTAAGAACCACAATCAGGTCGAAGAGCCCCAGCAACACTTGTAGTATGGCGATCATGAAGAATAAAAATACAGCAGAAATCCAGTCTATCCTGTGTAAATGTGTCTCTGAGTCATGACTGTCTACAATAAGTGAGAAGCTCGAGTCTCACTGGCTGTGTTGTTGTCAGAACTGTGTTTACATGGACGGGACGGTCGGCTCCTCCCCTTGTGTATAAAAGCTGTTTTAGTCAAGAACTAGAGAGAAGAAGAACATACTCACTGATTATTTAGTGTTTTTAGATTGAAGTTGTTCTGTGTTAATTTACATACAATGTGAAGCTACGAGCTAACTAAAGAGCGCTAACTAAAGAGCATGCTAACACAACAAGGCAGGAGGTGATTACAGCTCGAGCTGAGGACACTTTTGTCCGCTGCTTGCACTCCTTTGTGTGAATGCGAGTGAAAGTGGGTTGGAGGTGTGTTGCTGGAGGAGAGACATCTACTGGATCAAAAAGTCGCACATTCTTCCTTTAACTTTATTAAACCGATGTATTTTGACTTGTGGACTTCATCAGGGTTGTGAAACTTGGATGACCCTGATGAAGGTCATAAGACGAAACACATTGCTCTAATAAAGTTGATGAAGTCTTTGCCAGTAAACAGGAGATTAGGACACGCTGTGGACACGGGAGAGAAGCCTTCTCCCTGTTGGTGGGTGGCTGTGGATCAGTGGTAGAGTCAGTCAACTGCAAGGTCGGGGGTTTGATCCCAAAGCTCCTGCAGCCACATGTCTTATGTGTCTCTGGGCAAGACCCTAAACCCTAAATTTGTCCTGCCACTTTGTTGACAGCGTTAAGATGTGTATAAAAGGATGAGTTAATACTGATGGTCTCTTCACACAGCAGCCTCTACCATCAGTGTGTGAATGTGTAGGTGTGACCTGCTGTAGTCAGAAGACTAGAAAATAAATAAAAAGGCTCAAATCCACTTACCGTTTGTTGAAAGTTATTTTGCTGATGAATGGACCTGTGAAACGACTGTTTTAAGATGTAAAAGAAGAAGAAGATATACTTGATTGATCGTGCAATGGGTAAATTAAATTGTACACTCTGTTAACATGCTCACACACAGGCTGAAACACACACACTTGCACAAACAACATCCAGAATGCCAGCCAGTTACATATTCTTGTTTTAATGATAATCATCAAATTTAATCATTGTCTTCCTCACATTTCTCTTTGTCAAGCACTTTGTAACCATGTTTGGAAAAGTGCTATAACATATTATCATTATACTAAACCAGTCCCACATGCACTCTTTCACACACACTGATCTGAAATGTCGAGTCTCACAATTCAACAGTTTTTTATCCACATGACCTGTTAAGGGCTATTCCAGGTTTCACACAGCACATGTTATCGATTATATCTTTAAACTGACAAATTCATTTTTGCTGTTATTTTTTGGGGCTGTTATTTATAATGTTTTGTCAGAAAGGACTTTTTTTTTTTACAGAATATCAGAGAAAGCATTTCTATATCTGCACACTTTAAATATATATATATATCCTGTCCTCTTTGGACTCAGCTCAACATCACAGTAAAGAAACACAGGAGAGGAAAAGAGCCAACACTGTTGTCAGGGGCAACTGGTACGTGCTACGTCCCCCAAGTTGCATAAATTGCTGCCTTTACGTTCCGTGGGAAATGCAAGATTCGCAGCCTAAACACAGCACATACGATAGGCTAGACAGGATAAAACAGTTACAATATTTAGGTGTGAATTTTTTACTTCTCCAATATGTAGCCTAGTCTTTCAGCCTTAAATAATGTGTGAAAACGTTACTTTAATATAAACCAGAAAACGGTACATGTATTTTTAAAAGATAGGCTATATTTTTAGGCTTTTTTTGCCAGCAGCAGAAAGAGAGAGAGAGAGTTGGGAATGTCTGTGGGAAAGGAGACACAGGTCGGATTTGAACCCTGTTAGTCCACTTTGAGGACTGCAGTGTCTGTACATGGGGTCAGCAAACTAACCACTACCTCACTGGAGCCCTAATAGTGAAGTTTATTACACATGTTGCAGGTTTGGTAAACTATATCCACTAAAAACAAAACAATAAAGTTCTCTGTAAGTCATTTCGTTTACTGTGTTTGTGAACTGGCTCAGAGAGACTTGCTTTTTCCTACCCAACCCAACCAAAATGAGTCAATATTCAACATTTGAATAAAAGATTTGGCATAATTGAATAAAAAATAGTAGGCTATGTTGCCAGTGTGGCTGGGCAGCATCAAATTCCGTTTTTTTACAGTGTGGCCATGAACGCAGCACGTGTTGCAGCCAGCAGGCAGCGGCAGCAGACCCGGTAACCGAGCGGCACAGCGCCGCATCACGCCGACCAAAGTGCGTCAAAAAAAGACCCAAGAAACGCGACCATTGCCCACTTTTCTCCCAAGTGACTCGTCGTCACCAGCGAAGCCGCGATGCGTTAGATCATGTAGGGTTTGGTCGTTTCTTTTTTTAAATCCACATTTTCTTTTTCTTTTCTTTTTTTTGTAATTTTTTTTGTATTTTTTTTTACCGGATAGCCTGAAGAACTGTGAAGCCTCTTTATCACGCCGCCGGATTCCCTTTCATCTAGCCGCCTGTAGCTTTGAACCGAGCGGTGAACTTTTCTTTTTGAGTGAGTGAGTGAGTGAGTGTGTGTGTGATAGAGAGAGAGAGAGAGAGAGAGAGAGATAGTGTGTGTGTGAAAAGTACAAGTCACCCCCCATCCGTCGTCGACACCCAAAGGAGTTTGTGATATATTTGGCCTGACAACCCTTTCGTCATGAGGTAAGAAGCTCCCGGTTGTCTTTTAAGATGAAGTCATTATGGAGAAGAGTGCGCTAACATGATGAAAGTGTGGAGAGGAGGAAAACTACAGCTGAGATATTATCCCTAAAAACATGTTGCTTTGAGATGTCATTGACAGCAGCACTGGTTTCAAGTATGCTATTGGAGTGTGTGTGTGTGTGTGTGTGTGTGTGTGTGTGTGTGTGTGTGTGTGTGTGTGTGTGTGTGTGTGTGTGTGTGTGTGTGTGTGTGTGTGTGTGTGTGTGTGTGTGTGTGTGTGTGTGTGTGTGTGTGTGTGTGTGTGTGTGTGTGTGTGTGTGTGTGTGAGAGATATTAGCTTTATTAGAGGGTGTACACTGTCAGCTTTCTGCACCGACAGGCTCGTCCAACGTTTCACTGAATCCGTGTTGCGTTTGAGGACGTGCATGGGTTGGGAATGGCGCTCTGCTACACCACCCACACTGCAAGAGGGATTATCTTCCAGCAGCACTGGTGATGGGTTTATTTAATGCCACATTGTGATTGTTTAACAGTTTGCGCACTTTTGTCAGCTGTGTGTGTGTGTGTGTGTGTGTGTGTGTGTGTGTGTGATATTATTCCCGTGAATGTCTCACAATGCAATGACCATGCAAATGAGAAGACAACAAAAACACTTAATTAGAAGTTCAGATTGAGTTTTTCACAGGTCAAAAGTGACCCCAAGCTCAGTGTCCGTAAAGTAAGGGCTGGGCAATTAGTGGAGTTTTAGTCCTCCCGCGATCATGAAAACAACAAAATTCTTTATTAACTTTTATTTACCTTCACTCATTTGTTTCCATATTTTGCTTGTTTTCTTTTTCAAATTGTTCAGAATGTAAAAGTGTTCAGAGCGCTGAAGTTTGTTGTGAAATCAACGAGCTAGATTTCATGTTTAGTGAATCGTGATCTCTAAATAATCGTGATTATGATCTCTGATAATCGAGCAGCTTGCCGCCTGTGCGGGTTGCACTAAAGTTCAATCTAGTTTAGAGACGACACCTCAGGTGCGTCCAATGGGAGGGAAGATCAGATCACAAAAAAAAAAATGGAGTCCTCCTTTTCCTGAGTTCTAGTTTAAAGACCTCCTGTCGCTCCCTGAAAATCATATGAACACACACCCTCTTCTTCTGTGCTGCTCGTCTCCTCCTCCTCCTCAGAAGAAGAAAGGTCCGAGCTGTTTACTGAAGAGTGAACACATACAAACATACTGTGTGTCCAAAAAGTAGCTAATTTCCCGTCTATCGTTTTGGTCACCTAGCAACTTGCAAAACAACAACAGACACATTTCAGCTCAAGGCCTTCATCAGCGTCCACGCTTGTTTTGCTGTTCTTAATGCAAACTTAAAGGACATTTGTGTGCTGAGTTTTCCGTCTCTTTTTAGTCTTGTGCACCTGAAACTGTGTTTTCTGTCGAGTGTGCTCCTTTTTTTTTTGCTGTTTTTGCACCGAGCAACTTGCAGCAATTTGCGGATGTGTGTCCTCTTCGACCCACCCACTGCGTCACACACTTCATCCTACCTGACAGGACCTTTATGCTTTATTTCTTTGGTTTTCTAAATGAGCAGTGTTGTTGCACAAAGCTTAGAACACCTTAAATCTTTGTCATATCCTCTAAATGTTGTTAGGGCCGCATTAAATAAAAACAGGTTTTATGTGACAAATACATTTGGTTGAGTAAACCTGGTACAAAGACCCCCTTGGATCTGAATTTGTTTGTTAGTTCCCCTCATGAATATGTCCTTAAAATGGCCCGAGGCTGCTGATAAAGCAGAGAGCGGTGCTGTGGCTTGATTCGGTCCGACACGTCGAACACAGCGCAGCAGTTTTTGTCAGATCTCTCCCCTTCCTTCTTTTTTTTGTTGTTGTGCTGCTCTGTTCCATGCAGAGAGAGAGATCAAATGTCACATCAGCTTCTATGGAAGAGTGTGACCCTGTTTTTTTGCTTCTTCTTCCATGATCTAACTTTGTGTGTTCAGAAGTGAGAGGTGCAGCAGGGATGCATGGGGCCGGCCCCCTTTAAGAAAGCCCCTAATTGAATCCAGCTGTTGGAATCTCTCAGTAGGCCGGGCTGTGGTTAACAATAGCTTTGGTTGTTTTATAGAGCCTCTTGTTGTGTCCCTGTATCCCACAATGGAAACACTTACTTTTCATCTCAATGATTTCCCGCTCCTCCTCACGTCTTTAACTTTTTTATTACTTCTTTTGAACCTTTTCAGTGTTTGTCGGACATATCGACCACTCAGCTGAAGCGCAGACGATGATGTGTTAAAGCATTTGAACTCCATTTGTTTCCTCTGTTACCATTCAAAGGGAGAAATGTGTGTGTGTGGAGGGGACATATTGGTGTGTCTGTGGGGTCTAACAGGTGTGTGTGTGTGTGATTGACTGGAAGGCCTAGGTGCTCAGAGCTGAATCTTTGCAGCTGTGGATTAGCGTGCAGTAAGGTTGTGCCCACACTGAGGGCGGCTGTGGCTCAGTGGTAGAGCCTGTCGTCTATTAACCGAATGTTTGGGGGTTCGATCCCCATCTCCTGCAGCCCATGTCAGAGTGTCCTCGGGCAAGACACTTATCCACAAGTTGCTCCCACTGCTTCATCGGCCAGTGTATGTATGGATTAGTAACTTCTGATGGACTCTTTACTCAGCAGTCTCTACCATCAGTGTGTGAATGTGTAGGTGTGACCTGTAGAGTAAAAGAGCTTTGAGGAGTCAGAAGACTAGAAAAGAAATAAAGAAGCTCAAGTCCATTTATTATTTACCATTAAATAAATAATATAAAACAGAAAATAAAATAAAATATAATTTTAATGTTTCAGTAATTTGCTATTCTATTTATGGTTTTATTATCTCTGAAATGTGAAAAAAAGAATACATAAAAGAGTCAAGAACAACGTGGGTGATATGTTAGACGTCTTGTTTTGTCTCACAAGCAGAGAACACACACAAGGGGATTTCATTTTCTCTGATTCATGACAGAGAAAAGCAGAAAATCCTGCATGACAAGTTAGAATGTGTCGCATTTTGTTCACTGTGTTTACTTCAGGAAATAGTTTCTAGTACTTTCTCTGTCAGAATTGTTCATGGTGAACTTGTTTTCTGCACATTTCTCCACTTACCCTCTGTACACACATATATATATATATATATATATATATATATATATTATAAATTATGTTAGAGAAGCCTAACCAAAGATACAATATGGTGCTTGGTTAGAATCCAGCCGCTGCACAAAGTGAGCCCAACATCTGCAGGTGTTGTAAATGACCTCTCACAAGATTTGGATGAGATTTTGTCCTGGCCGTGAAGGTCAAAGATGCCGGCCTGGAGCACATTCCTAAACCACGAGGGCGAGGGTGCATTTGTAACGCTGGTCAGCTTGTTTTCTGTGTTATGTCATGCAGCACCCAGTGCTGATGTCAGCTTATCTCGGGCGGGTTGATAAGCGGCAATCGTCATGGTGATGAGGCTGTGAAGTGTCATGGTAACAAGCCTTGACAGCTGCTGAAAGGGCTCTTGCCTCCCAGGCGCTGCAGGTTCACGCCACAGATGAATGACGGGAGGCTGTTTGTGTGGAGAAAGTCCAGCCCCAGCCACTCCAGGGTTTAAGTTGGACCGCAGCCACTGATGTTATCCCATCCTGATGAGGCATTAACGAGGTCAGCCTCAGGCTAATTAGAAATGAAAATAAATTGGTCCTGTTCATTGATTCAACAGACTCAAAATGAAGACACTAACTCAAGTCCCTAGTTGGGTTTTAAGTCTCGACTGAGAGGTCGACGAAAAGAACAAGTCACAGTGAAGGCTGGAGGTTCTGCTCATGAGACAGATTCATAGATCATATTGCTCTTTCACAATAACGGGGAAATCAGCGTTCTTCACCATGGAGACTGCCATGATGTCATATGTGTGTGTGGCCTCAGTAACACACCGGTTGCTGTTTGAACGGCTATTTCTAAACCTCAGTTAAAGGGATACTTCACCCGTTCAAACATGAATCTGTATTGACATTGGGTCATATATGTAGAAATGTGAAATACATTTTGAAGTTGGTGCCTTCTTGGCTGAGAAAGGGCAGAAAGTGTCTTTTTGGCTCATGTGGATGAAAGACACCAAATCCCAGAATGCACAGCACCGCAGGCCACTCCCACTAAGGTCCTCTATTTACAGACATGTTTACTTCAACACATCAGGCCGTTTCCTCAACTGATTAAGAGATTTCTTCCAGAATTGATCTTGGAAATTCCTGTCAGAAAACAGACTCTATGTCTGTGTCCATAGACAAACACAGACACTACCAGTCCGCCCCAGCTCGAGCCGGCCCGGGCTCCTCGTCCTTATGTCTTATGGCCGGCGGTGGTCAGCAATATAGCCGCGAGATGGCTGCTACCAACAGGCCGGTCTTGTGTCTTGGCTGCTGCGGCCAGCGCCGGCCCCAGCGGCCAGGATTTGACTGGATAATCCCAAAAGGCACCAACACCTCATACTCTGCCTAGAGGTCAGGTCCATTGACTCCAAAAAAGGAAAGCAGAGGTGACAACATGCAGCACAAGTGTCCAAGTGCTCATGTAGACATTACTACTTAGATATAATTTGAATGATCGTCATTGAGCTGTAAAGACGTTTATTTTTGTTGTGAAGTTTGACATTTTAAGCATTGGAGCATTACTCTAAAGATGAATTTTTGAAGCCTGAGTGGCGTCAACGTTTGTTCCTGCAGGGGGCGCTGGAGTCCCATCGATGGTGGTCTCCATGCTGGAAATGATGTCTCACCCTAACTTTTCTTAAACCTAATGACAGGCTGAGAGCTGGAGCTGAGGCAGGTTTTAAGCCTTTTTACAAAAAGTTACATCGCGCCCGCCTGTCAATAAGGTCAGCTACACGCCTAATTGTGAATAACTCTTATCCTTCATCAAATCAAAACTGATGACTCATCAAAACATTCACCCCCCCCTACAGTGTGTGTCGATCAAGACATGAGCT